TGGTTCCGTTCAGATAAATCCAAACGCGGCTGGAAATACCAGAAGTGAAACAGTTTGGCTCTTTTATCTGAAATCGAAGCACGCATGACTACAGCAGAAACCACAGGCAAACCCCCGAGGGCATTGCTAACAGATCACCAGTTTTAACATCTGTCTCAAACATGCCAATAATGGAGGTGGTCCTACGCCTGCCCCACTCAGACACGGGACAGTAACGGGGGCTGGGGGGAGAAGGGGTGACCCAGGGGAATGGCAGAATCCCACTGCTAGCCCACATGGTCACGATGGAGATGATGATGATGGAACTCTTTTGCATGCAGGGAAGGGGACTCTGCTTCAAACATTGCCCAGGATCTACAGTAACTTAACCACTGCCTCCCTCTGTATGCAACCTCCAAAGCCAGCATGGCTTTTCTAGAGCAGGGTTTGCACTCCAGGAGTCTGCTCCTTCACTTCTGCAAGCCCTCACTGCTGCACTGAGGGCATCAGGCTACTCCTAGTTCTATCAGCTGTGGTCCCTGAAAAAAATACTTCCTGCTGTTAGGAATTGCTGGTGTGTAAAATCGCTCTGTGTAAAATCTCTTCCCCATGCTCTCACATCACCTGCCCCTACCTGGCCAGCCTACGCAGACCTGCTGTGCTGACGCTGAACATGACCAGCATCAGCCCCAACTGCAGAAAAGACCGCAACAGTCTGGGAGCACCAGCGGGGCTGGGACTAAGTGCCAGGCTTCTCTGCTCTGGAAACCAAAGCCTTGTGTGTGACTGCTCATCACTAGGCTGGTCACTGTGCCACGGACCAGACGGCGTCTCACTCATACCCACACACCGAGCACACGTGCAGTGCTCTCACGTGCCCATCGAGCCAGGGGCTATCAGCTACTGCTTTTGAGAGCTTTTGTCAAGAGAGAAAGAGCCCTCTCCAAGTGGGAGACAGGAACACTGGCAATCCGGCATTTAAGGCAGGCTCTCAGAGTGGCTGTAGAAATTTGGGGACACGGACAAAAAATTCTGAGGGTAGATTTAAATT